CGTTTACGTTACTACGTACGTCTCTCTCTCTCTCTCTCTCTCTCTCTCTCTCTCTCTTTCTTTCTCTCTTTCTCTCTTTCTCTGCAGCCAATCCACCTCATGACCGACCGGTTGGTCTTCTCCTCGTCGTTGCATCCCCTGACCTCCATCTTCGCCCCTAGCCCCTCTGCCAGTTTTTTTTAAACCACTCCACTCGTCTTGCTGCCTTTTACGACCATACTAATTTATACCGTGATACGCCTGGACGAGAGACGTAGCCTCGCTACGGCCTCCCCGGTATCAAACACATCTAGCACCCGGTGCAGCATTGCTAGTCCGCACGCTGCAAAAAGTACAGCCTATCTCTCCTGAATCTCCCAACTAGTCCTGCATTCGGATACAGGTCTGTCTCTTAACCCTTTCTCTTACCCGGTCTCTGACATTACGTATCACTCGAATGTTCCTAGAAAACTTGAAAGTTACGGTGAGAGATAATGACATGTCCGCTCTATATGCAAATCTTTCATGAATATATATAACCGTCACCGCCTTTGTATAATCAGTACCAGTATTGTTTATCTAGATCGCGTCGAATTGTTACTTATAAATTTTTTATCAACCACGATCTGAGACAAATAAATTTAACGGTAAATAAATTGAAAGTCGATTCGAATTTAAAAGCAATAACTGCCTACGATAGATATATATTCGTCGCGACTTTCGAAATTTTGAAATGTTCCGTTCTGTGTGTGTTTTCAGAGTGTTTCTGGTCAGAGAGAGCAAGAGCAATCCAGGAGCCTTCGTGCTGACCTATAAGTACAACGACAAGGTCTTTCACGCGCAAATCCAACCCGTAAGTATCCGCGTCTGATCGATAATTAGCGACAAGTCGAGGAGTCTTTTTTTGCGGTTGAGTTAACTTCGCGGCGAAAACGCGAAAAAGTTTCTCCGATCGTTTACTTTTAGAGCCAAAGCCGCTGCAATTATCGTGAGTGAATTGCCAGCGTAAGCTCCACCTCCAGAGAAAAGATTTTAATCTTTTACCATCTGAATTAATTCTATTGGCTAAACGGATTATTTTTTTTTTATTTTTACTTCAATATAATCGTATTAGTATTCTGATACGAATCTAGTAAGGCGATTAAATTAATTCCTAACGGTAGCAGTTTTTTTTTTTATATTCAAATTTGATAAGAATTTTCTAGCTATTTTTAGTCTTCCAGCTATTTTGCGTTCTCCATCTGAAAAATATGCGCATTTTTTCGTGCCATAAATTATTCTATTCAATCTGAAGTCCTTCAGACAACTTCAGGATATTTTATGCGTGATACAAAATGTAAATGTACAAGATGTCATAAAGTCAAGTGTTATATATAAATTATATATAATTATATATAATTATATATAATTATATATAATTATTACATACTTATATACAATATACAATATACGATATATATATATATATATATATATA